CTTTTTAATGGCTCTATACCATCAAAGAATATAAATGTATTACAGATGTTACTATGGGGTCATCTGAAAGGTGCATGACATTAAAAAAAAAATACGGTGGCACCCACTTCAAATGTGAAATTGAATTTGTCACTGTGGCCCCTCAGCACCTAATGATCTTGAGCCCCAAACATTAAGAATGTATATTAACAAGCACAATAACTCAGCAGTGGGGATTCTAAAGCATAGTGAAGTTAGGAAAGGCCCACCACCTGAAATCCTAAATAATACAGCAATTGTGGGGCTCATATGATATGATGGCATGGAGGTGAGTTTAAGGGAACTTGGTTCTTCTTCAAAACACAATTCCCCTAGCAGAGGGGACACTTCAGAAAAGGGGGTGAAAAAGTGACCAGGAAGCCACTGCCATGGGGCTGGGACTTACCCCAGCAATCCGTGGACCCTCTCCCTGTCTTTTGGATATGACCAAACCTTTACAGGTGGCTTTCACCTTCCAATGCATTTCCAATACCCAGGCCAGTGCCCGACACAGTCAGCACCCTATAAATGCTCACTGTCATCATCACAACCCCCAACATCTGAGTAATGCTGTGTGGGCCTCAGTGCCTGTACCCCAAACAATACCAACAGTGGTAGCTCCAAAGTGTCTGTAAAATATGGTGATGCAGTAGGATGGGGAACATTTACATAGCAGGTATTTGGCTTTTATCCTATATGTTGATTTAGGGGTGTTTTTTGGGATGGAAGAGATGTGGGGACCAGAATGCCTCTTCCCCCAGCTACTCCTGCAAGTGGCTGCTGATACTTCACTGTTTATAGACAAGACAATGTCGTTCAGACCCTTAAGTAACTTGGTTGATATCACATGGCTAAAAGGGGCCAGGTTACTTGAGTATAAATGGTCTGAATCCTAAGAATAATCCAAGAGTTTATCTTTTAGAAAGCTGGATCCAGTCATCAACTCCACCAAACCTGTCTCCTAGACAGATGCATAAGCTTGCAGCAGTGACCAGGTTTTAATCGTCTGCTTCCATGTGAACTAAAAACTGTGCTGCTTACCTGTGCAAGGAATGCACACATTTGGCCACAGATGTTATTCACTTCTAGGTTTGCTATTTGAAACAAACTGTTAAAAGCAAAATTCTCTCTTTCCCTGTCTCTCCCTCTCTCATGTGTGTGCACATACATACACACAAGGGTGGGGATCAGGTACATTCTGTTCCTTCATCCCTAAAATGAGAGGATCAGACTAGAGCAGTGGTTTTGGCATTTAATGTGCACACAAATCATCTGGGCATCTTGTTAAATGCAGATTCTAATTCTGCAGGTTTGGAATGGGGGCCTTGATTCTGCACTTCTAACAAGTTCCCAGGTGGTGCTGATGGTCCACACCACGTGTTCAGGAGCCAGGGACTGGAGTACCTGAGGCCCTTCCCACTCTGAGCATCTCACCCTACTCTCTGGGCACCTTACACCTATCAGGGAGGTCAGGTCCACATCATTCCTGCTCAGTGCACAGTTCTACACCTGTACTCCACTTAACCAAATCTATTCCAGGTCAAGGGTGGGATCCACATCCATGAGGCATTCCTTAACTAGTGTTTTCTCCTCAATGAACATTTTCATCTAAAATCCTCTAGTACTTCTATTAGAAATTTTACCCTTTGCCTTGCATCGGTCCCTAATTACGTTGTGGTGCATCTAACTAAATTAGAGATTAATAAAGTCACACCCCTTAATTATTTTCTTTCCTCAGTAATATTTGTAAATGGCTGGTTCCCTTTCTGCCTTTAGCTTTCAGCACATGCACCCCTTCCCTGAATACTCCAAATGTAAATCATTCTCTTGCTGCCCCCACCATGGGCCAGTCATAGCACCATCCTTAAAGTTCTTTATAGCACTCATCAAGTTTTGAAATTTTGCTTGTTTACTTATTGTCTGTCCCCTGCACCCCTGCCCAAGAGAAAGGAACTTTGTTCACTCGGTTCACCACTCTATCCCCAGGGCCTAAAATGGTAACTATAACACAGTAGGTGCTCAATAAATATTTGTTGAGTAAGTGCAAGAATCAAATTGCTGGGCATAAAAGAGGTGCTCAAGAAAATGCTTACTAGATGAATCAGAGACCCATTATGCAGACACTAATCTTGGAATCTTGCATTTCTTTACTTTTGAAAATTAGTCCTTGTTTGCGTGTGTCTTCTTTCCCACTGGGTACTCACCGCAGCTCACATCACAATTAATTTTGAAAGAAGATCAGACATGTGAGTTCCTATTAGTTCTCAGTAAGACAAGTCATTTATCTGTAGTGCTTGTGGATTATAAGAAATAATAGGAGCGATGTTAGTGTGGACCCTTAGGTTATGTTTTGGAAACACAGGGCAAATTTAGCTGTGGGTCTCTTCTTGGCTGTTCCATAGATGGAGCCCTTTCTGCAAAGCCTTTTCCAAGCTCAGCTTTGATCTGCTTTCAGGGTTGCCAACACACCCAAGTTTCTCATCTTACACCTCAATTATTTTTTAAAGTACACAATCCACAGCACACAAAGCTTTGATGGTGTACATGGAAAATCATAGAAAATGCAGGCTATAGGGGAAAACTGAATGTACAAAATGAACCCACTTGTTAAACATTAGAGAAAACAACCTTTGGTGGGTCTCTAAATGAGAGCTTGTCTGGCTTGAATTCTTTGGCACCTTTCAAAAAACACAAGCTAAGGGCTTGATCGTGACCTTGACACTAGCATAAGTTTACCATTAGCTTCCAAAGTGAAGTTCTGGGAAGTGACGCTCTCAGAGGTTCACTTGTAGAACTCTGGGGAATGAAGGCAGAGGCAAACACTCATCCTTCTGGCCTGGCAGTGTTCCATGGGGAAGGGCTAGAAGCACCATGCATGTAACCTCTGAGAAGCCCCAAGGCCAAGTGCAGCACAGCTATGCAAATGCCATCCTGGGGCTTCTAAATTCTATGGCTCCATGCAGGCTCTGCTCAGTGTTTTCTTTTCCTGCCTAATCTATTTCAAAAGAAATCTAATGAGACTTTAATCTACTATTGCATTTCATATTTTCTGTTTTATGAGGCTCTTTTAGCTTCTATATGTGCCAGGAAAAATCTGAGAGACTCCCACAGTGTGTTGCATTGGAGTTGCAGATAAAAGGATGCACTGTTAAATCTGAATTTCAGATAAATAACAAATTGTTTTTAGGTATATAGGTTCCGTGCAATATTTTTATAGAGGCCCACAAAGGATGTGAGTTGCCACCCCATGGTGTGCAATGAAATGGACAAATATTGGGATTTAAGAAATCTGGAAGCTCTGGAAGCTCTGAGCCAAAAGACCCTTAAAAGCGAGGAGACCTAATTATTTCTCCTTTGCAATGATTTCTCTAAAAGGAAACAATCTAATGCGGGATTTAAAACTTTCCCTTTATTATAGCTTGTTTTCTAGCATTCTCAACCTGAGCAGGTGTGGAGAGGAGGAAGGAGGTGGATTCTGAACACTGATCATCCAGATCCCTTATTGGCTTGAAAAGGGTGACAGAGGACACCTTCCCAACAGGCTTCCATTCAGGAAATATTTCTGCTCCATCTCCACCTCAAACATTGTCCGCCTTTATAACATGGTATCTGCACGTCTGCGCCTTTGTCGTTCTGCTGTAAGGTGTGTGCTCTAGCTTCAAACACAAGTGAATACCCTGTATGTTGAGGAATCATCCTGTAACTGGATCTATGGTCAGCAAAGCCCTCCTGTTTGGGTTCTGTGGATCTTCAGCACACACCCGTCCTCCCTGCACCCTCCCCCCCGGATATTTCTGTCTGGACCCCAAAGTTCAGACGCTTGTTTCATCTGCTCTTCTGTTGTTTTCTTCCTGAATCCTGGCTGCCCGTTTCTTCCTTTTGCAATACTCCAAGGGGAATTTCCACTCTCTTCTCCCTGTCATTTTATACTTCACAGTTGAGAGGACAGGAATGAGCTAGGAAACAGGATCTCGCTCCCCCCTCGCATTTTTTAAATGACGCAGGAGGGACTTCGGACATCCCTATCTCCCCCGACGGTCCCCTCCGATGCTAATCCTGATTGCTGGGCAATCACAGTGTTCCTGTTAATGCTCCTGATTGCCGCACGCGGTGGGCGCAGGAGCGGCTGCCCACGAAGGAGCCCCGGAGCAGATTCTGATCTCCGACGAGTCGCGGCCGCCTGCGTCCGGAGGCCTCGCTGGTCCCGGGAGGCCGGTCACGGAGCCTGGCACCTCTGAATCCAGCGCGAGAACCTGGGTCCCCGGACTCCCGGAGCAGCGGGGGCGGCTCTGCTTACCGGCCCGAGTTCGCTGGGGGACAACTTACTGTGCTCGCTGCGCGTCCACACTGCAAACTCCCGAG